ACACTCCAGTACATTAACACTGCACTGAGAGAGAGGGGTTCATACAGACACACTGACTGGACACTCCAGTACATTAACACTGCACTGAGAGACAGTCTAAGCTCTGCTCAGAGAAGTCAACATGTGTAGCAGCATGAACCCTGAATCAGTGTCTCAGGGGAGACATGTGGCCTCTCTCAGCTGTACAGTTTTCCCAGTGACAGCGGATCTCGATGGGGTACCCCCTTCGGAGACGCCTGTATTGTGGCGAGCTACAGGACCTATCTAGGGAGCCTGGGGTTCCCCCTGCAGGAGAGAGGTGTGTGGGGCTCCGTCAACAGTCTGGGGTGTCAGGGCTCTGTGCCACAGACACGCACCCCAGCCTGCCTCCTGACCGCCTCGTTCACGAGCCCCAAACGAGCACGGAGGCAGAGGGGCGTCAGAAGTTGCCACGGTAATCTGATTGAGTGGGGATGACAGTGAGCAGTCTTACACCCCTGCAATAATAGCAATTATAATCTCCTCGGGCCTCACGCGCGGCTGCGCACACGCGCCGGAGCGCGGACGGACACGTGTGCCCTCACGCGCGGTGTCACTCACACGCGTGCGCCGCTCATCTCCGCTACATGACCCAGCTGCACGGCGGGGGCAGTTTCTCTGCCTCTGTGTCTTGCGTCTGGTGAGGGTGATGAAGATGGAGAATACCTTCATCTCTCATTCCTTTACCCATCAGCTTCGTCTCCCTACCCTCCTCTCTCTCTCTATCGCCACACTCTCCTCCACGTGCCAGATTTCATTCACTCACTCCTACCTGTGTCTCTCTCCCCCTGTCTGTCTCTCTCCCTGTCTGTCTCCTTCACTCTCCCCTTGTCTGTCTCTCTCTGTCTGTCTCTCCCCCCAGGCTCTCTCTCTCCTCCTGTCTGTCTCTCTCCGTATGTCTCTCTGCCTCTCCCCCCAGTCTGTCTCTCCTCCTGTCTGTCTCTCCCCCTGTCTGTCTCTCCCCCCAGTCTGTCTCCTTCACTCTC